GTATACCGTTGTTGTTGACTTATTATACGTGTATCAATTTTCTAAGACATTTCGTAGCATCCAATTTCGCACATCCTCATTACAGTATATATTCGCAAAATTACTTTTATAAAAATAATATATTACTACTATATGTATAAGATAAATATAACGGTAGATTTAAAGGCGTTAGCAAATTTAGGTAGTTTTCTCACTGTTTCAGAAATTAATTAGTAAACAGCTGTCTGATGCATTATATAACATAACTTAGATTATGCTTTTGTAAAATTATTTAATTCTTAAGATCTTTTTCTAGTCACTTATCGAAAGTCACTTTCTTCATCTCGACAGTCTTCGAATCAAAAACTACAATACTACTTATTTATATATCTCCTAATTTCAAATGAACCGCAACAATACGCATGTACCGCATATACTGGCTGCGTTCGGGGAGATGCTATTTAGCGCTATGAGCGTGCTCTGTCCTTGTTCAACTTTTGCAAGTAACAAGGACAGAGCACGCTCATAGCGCTAAATAGCGTCTCCCCGAACGCAGCCACTAGCGCATATCTAACCTAACCTATGCCCACTATATCTAACCTTATATCGGTTGCGTAGCACGTGTCCGGCGATTAAGTAAAGGCGATTTTATTTTTCTAAAAGAGCCGAAGACTGATACATTTCGGTGAATATGGGCGAAACAAAAGAAGAAAAGGCGCCCCGCGAGTATGAGTGGATGGTATACGATTATATCCGTGTCCGCCCCAGATAGCCAGTGTGAGCACAAGTTGCTTTCACATTGCTAAGAAAAATGTTAGCATCTTGCTATACATCTATGTCGTTTATTGTGCTGTTGTTTGCTAACATTTGGTGTCGGAAATGAAACATTTGCATGATTCAAACATTATGCTAGCATTAAGTGCTTGGTCAGATGTGATAGATATAACATGTTTATATCTGTTAGAAAATTGAAAACAATATATGCTAATTCTTTGTTAACAGTATGCCTATTCGATGTGCTCTCTCTTTAGCTGTGCATTTAACTACGACAATGTGTTAACATTATGCTAGCTGTACTTAAATCACTCAAACATTGAATTCATATTCCCAGCAAAGAGCCAGCATCAGTTGCTGGCATTTTATTTTCATACATTGCTTGAGCACACTGGCTATCTGGGGTATAATTTTTCCATCGGATAGTCTGTCAATGTGTTTTTCCTTCGTCAGGTGAGGCCGTGTATGATGTACAAGGACGAGTATGACGATTGCACCAGTACGAAGGGTCGTTTCCATCAATACTTCATATTCGGCGAAGCGATCGATTGCAATCAATGGAAGACCGATTATCAAAACTGCTATCAATGGCAAAAGTACAAGTCGGAAGTGGCATATGTACGCAGGTTGCCACATGCGTTTCGACGATGACGTGTCCGGGTGTATCGCGATGTAATAACTGAACGAAATCTTTGCAGGACGAGCTGATCAAGAGCGAGAAGCAACGCAGGACAAAGCGATTGCACGCGCATTATCAGAACGACGTCTGGGAGAAGAGGGAGAAGCCGCCCGAGAACTGGAACACCCCTCTGCCCGAGTGGATGCAGAAGGAGTTCGACAACTCGTATCTGCACATACGAAACCAAGAGATGAAACAGGGTACGAAGGTGTCCACCCTCGACACGAGATGTACTATATTATAACAACGAATTTACTATCATAAGATTAGACCCCAGCGAGAAATGACTCGTCAATTCATGTCGAAACAATGTCGACTCGATATTGACACCGTCAAGTCCCTAGGTTTGTTTTCTGTTCCTGCACGAGTGCACCGGTGGAGGAACTACACTCTAGCAGTAAGCTAGAATGACAAAAAGTTTATTGCACTAGTTTACCAATGTAGCAACCAGAAACAAGCCGCATGATGCAAGAATATCAGGTGTAACATTCCTCTGAATACGCACTTGTGACCAATCAGAAATTTGCCCTAAACCTTTAAACTGCAAATTATTGCGGTTGAATGCAGCAAAAACCAAGGAGCAATTTGTCCCAAAAATTGGTTATATGCGCAATGTTTCACCCTATATTTTTACATCATGATCAAATCGACGTCGACTTTGACAACAGCGATGTCGATTCGGCGAGTCATTTTTCGCTGGGACATAGCCTGTATGTATTATACATACTGTACTTATTTAAACCGAGTCACGTGAGTACTTTGACATATATATACAGTTTTGCAGTCTAAGTAAATACGAGATAGTGATGTAACATCAGATATCTTATCGTCAAGTACGATCAGGCGAGGAATGATTGCGGTTGATTGCGAAAGCACCTTCGGATGATAAAACCGAATCACCCCTTTCTATCCCTCTTCTTTAAAGGGAAAATAGAAGGATAAAAATTCCAATGTTGCCCTAGTAGCACAATATATTGGCGCAACAATGAGAAATGATGTAAATCTAGTATTCCTAATATGGTAAGATAGACGCCTTAGCCAATATGTCTATTTAGCAATATTAATTTAATATTGTATCAATATTAGACCAATATTCTTATTAAATTGTTGAATATTGGCCATTGCACTTCCAATATAAATTTAATATTATATAACAATAATATAATTTATTGTTTCTCCTCGGGGAGTACAAGGCGTTTTTTTGAAGGAACGTACCCAAACCTCATCTAATATTATATAATTATCGCAATATTTACACTTATTCCATGGCCAATATTGGCCAATGTGTTTCTACTTTAACCAACATTGGACCAATGTTTAATCCATGCACTGTGCTACTAGGGTGAGTTTCAGCATAGGTTCTTTCAGCATTTTCTATTTATTTCCCACGAGAGAAGCAAAGCACCTGCAAATAGCGCAGATGATCGCTAGGAATTCAGAAAGGATTTACTTTTTAATATTCTTTATGAATTAGTGTAGTCTGTTATTTAATAAAAGTTGTTCCGAATACAGAGAATCTCAGTAAATGCAAATATTACATAGCATAGATGCAACTGCTACTAACTGTGTTTACTGGGATTCCTTTGGCACCGTTCGAAAAAGAGCTAAGAATTGTTGCATCCTTGATGGAACGAAATTGATAAAACGTGAAATGAAAGTCATTTAAGAATTACTGAATGTATTTCAAATGAATCAATTTTCCTTATGAAATTCAACGCAATAATTTGAAATATATATATTATTGAAAAGTAATGAAAAAAATTATGAAATTTTAAAACAAATAAAGTTAAAAAATCCAATTCTTCGCCAATGAATAAAACGACAAATATACAATCAATAATTAAAACGACCTAGGCTGGCAAATCCTTTTTATTTAATAAATTACGACGTTTCGGCCAGTAATACTGGTCCTTCTCAAGTGTATCTTACGCCACACCTATCGATTGTTACAGCAAAAGATAGGAAGCATGTCGTAGTACATAAATAATTAATATCTATCCATCGAAATAATAAAAACATCAATTACATCATTCCACTCACCAACAGACAAATGTCTAGTCTTATACAAGCCCAGAGGAAAAATGTGGGGGCTTGTATAAGACTAGACATTTGTCTGTTGATGTGTGGAGTGATGTATATACATGATGCATAGATGTATACATATGCATTGTATATCAAAGTATTAATAAGGTGCTTCAAGTTTTTGTAGGAGAAAAAATATTGTATTAGGGATGGAATGTAAGGGGTGGGCCCCGAATCGTATGAAAATAGTTAGATTCTTGTGGATCTCTCGCGAGATTCACCCCACATCTCAGACATGGGATGTCTAAGGTCATATCTTTGTGACGTGGAGGCTCGAGATACAAATAGAATTTGATGGTAAAAAATCTAGGTAAAATTACAAAAACTAAATTAGCTCAGCTATAAGATAACTGACGTTAGTAAATAGTGAATTAGAAGGAAAGTTTGACCATGAATGTTCAGTACTGGCGACATATCTAATGCTAACGTATCCCGAACTATACAAATTACTTTGACAGAGTAATTTTCGTGGCGAGCGTGGTGTAGAGAAATGTGCACTGCTTAGTAAATAAATCAACGAAAAGATCCGAGTTCAAAAACCACACCGCTGGTTTTTTCGGACGCCACTTCTCGAAGAGAAGTGGCAATCACCGTGAGTACCTTGCCACATGTACCCCTTTATTTGTTATGTGGGTTGCGAAGAAACTGAAACGTTGACAAAAAATACTAAGAGACAGTTATTCGTACAAGAAACTGATGGAATTTCTAAAGAAGCTGAGGATGGTAAAGATACAATCGGATTGTGTGCCGACGATGAATTTGCAAAATTCTATGATTTTGACGAATAGTGAATTAATACTGTGAATGTCAGATACTTTTGCTAGTGGTTCGTGTATTATGTGATTCATTACAATATTCTTGGCCTTTACACCTTCGTCGGGGTGTATCCTTCTTTTCATTGTATACCGTTCGCTAAAGGGCGCAATTCGTCGGGCTTCGTCGTGTACCCGTTTCGAAAATTGCTCAGGTCATTAACAATCAATCTGAAACAGTTCGTAATACAATTGCACCAGAGGAAAAATGGCAGTTTTCCTCGGGGCTTGTATAATAGCGAATTCGGTTACTTGCACTGGTGCGCACTGAGTGCACACTAAGGCTTGTTTATAGTCAGTTCTTATATTTAACTTTGCCTTGAATACATGTTCAAAGAGTATTTAGTCAAAAAATAATCCGTGTAAACGTTGTACAGACCATTTTTCTGGATAAGAAATATTGCAAAAGGTATTTAAGATGATCTTTAAATGTAAGAATTGACTGGAAACAAGGCTTAATGTGCACTCAGTGCGCACTAGTGCAACCAAGCGAAAATTCGCTATAAGACTAGACATTTGTCTGTTGGTGTGTGGAGTGATGTAATTGATGTTTTTATTATTTCGATGGATATATATTCATTATTTATGTACTACGACATGCTTCCTATCTTTTGCTGTAACAATCGATAGGTGTGGCGTAAGATACACTTGAGAAGGGTCAGTATCACTGGTCGAAACGTCGTAATTTATTAAATAAGAAGAATTTGCCAGCCTAGGTCGTTTTAATTATTGATTGTATGTTTTTATCACTGGCGACTTACCATATTTCCAAAAGAAATACGACAAACGTTAAGAAATTATTCGACGTAACTGGCAAAAATGTTTCTCTATTAAAAACGCAACGTTTCGATCGTGAATTCCGGTCCTTTTCGAGTGTAGGGTAATCACATAAGATTCGAAATTCGGACATTGTACCAGCAATAGATCTGAATCTAAAGAATGTTACGTTCGTCAATTAAGAGGACCGGAATTCACGGTCGAAACGTTGTGTTTTTAATCTCTTAACTTTTTTGTCAGTTACGTCGAATAATTTCTTAACCTTTGTTATGAAATTAAAAACTGTTACTCGTTACTGAAAATAATTTGTTCCTGAAATATTGACGAAATGATAAACGAAACCAAGTCACTCGAGAGAGATTTTCAAATACATTTCGTTATACAGGGTGAGGCATTTAAAACTGTTTTTCAGAATATTTGGAAAAATACAAATCGGATTAAAAAAAAGTTGCAATAAAAGTTGTTCACCTCGAACAGGGTCATCCATTAACATAAAGCTCAACCCCCCTGCACCACCCCCGGGGGCGGGAGGGGGTGACTTTGAAATTTTAAATAGAAACCTCTATTTATTGCAGATTTGAATTCTCCGTGAAAAAATATATAATTTTTGTATGAGACATTTTTTCGATTCATGATAGATGGCGCTGTAATCGGCAAAAATGAAAATGAGTTGAAAATTGTTGAAAAATGGTAATATCTCAAAAAAATACACATCAGATTAGGAAAATCAAAGTAAATTTTTTGATATTTTTGCCGTAATTTTGTCTTTTTTATGCCGTAATTAATTATAAAAACGATATTATGCCGATAATGTTTGCACATTCATTGATAATTCGCTGCTGCATATTTTCTGGGGTTGTTGGTACATCCATGTAAACTCTCTCTTTTAGCCTTCCCCACAGGAAAAAATCGGCAGAAGTCAAATCGGGTGAACGTGCGGACCAATTTTGAGGACCTCCTTGTCCAATCCATCGACCCGGATAGTTTCGATTTAAAACTTCTTGAGGTATTCGTGAATAATGGCATCCATCGTGTTGAAACCACATATCCATTCTTGTTTGAAGTGGAACATCTTCCATTAGTATGGGTAAAACATTATCTAAAAAGTCGCTGTACATTTGACCATTCAGATTACCTTCTATGAAGTATGGGCCAATTACCTGAGTACCTAAAATACTGCACCAAACGTTGACACTCCACGGGCGTTGATGTTCAACTTGCCTTAACCAATGGGGATTCTCCACTGACCAATAATGCATATTATGTCGATTCACTTGACCACGATTCGTAAAATTTGATTCATCAGAGAAAAGTATCTGTGAAATGAAACTATCATTGACTGCCAGTTGTTCCTGTATCCAGTTGCAAAAATTCAAGCGATTTTGAAAATCGTCACCATGCAGTTCTTGATGCAGCGATAAATGAAATGGATGAAATTTGTGTTCATGCAGTATGCGTAGAACGCTTCTTTGAGAAATTCCTGAACCTCGCGTAATTTGCCTAGAACTAATGTGAGGATTTGCAGCAACTGCAGCTAAAACATTCACTGTGTTATTTTCGTTTGTCACAGGCCGCGGTCGGACTCTTTCTCTAGGTTTAACACTTCCAGTTTCAGTAAACAGTTGGACAATACTGCGAAAAGTCGTTGCAGAAGGAACATTCCTATCAGGGAACAGATTAGCATACCTTTGACGAGCTTCTTCAACATTTCTATGAGCCTCAAAGTACAAGGAAATGATATCTACTCTCTCTC